ATATATATATATATATCGTCACAAACAGGACTGCCCGGTAAAACCGTAGGCAGAGAGAGAGAAGAGGACAACAAACGAGGGGCTATATATATTATATATATATATATATATTGTCAGACAGAGCTGCCCGGTAAACCGTAGGCAGAGAGGGAGAATTATATAAATGAAGATGTAGTCTCTGCAAAAGGACTCTAATACTCTACGACGCTCTCGCGAGAATGACGCACTCCCTCGCGCCAACACCGCAAAGACGCTCCGTCGAATTCCACACCACCCACTAAACACACTTGCACGCGAAGAGTTGTGCAGTGCCGAACAATTATGCATGTTTCGTCCCGTCAGACTCATCAATGGCCAGACACGGTCGCAACGATGGCAGTAGGCGCCTGGGGGTAACCCAATGCTCTTCCGTGACCATGGTAACCTATACGCTGTGCCGCACGCCGCTGCGTCCCCTCTCAACTCCTACAAGGGCTAATGAAGATGCAGTTTCCGCAAAAAGACTTTACTAATCGACGACGTTCTCGTGAGAATGACGCACTCCCTCGCGCCAACGCCGCAAAGCCACTTCGTCGAATTCCACACCATCCATAAACACACTTGCACGCGAAGAGTTGTGCCGAACAATTATGCGTGTTTCGTCCAGTCGGACTCATCAGTGGCCAGACACGCCCAAAAATAAGAGACACGGTCGCACCGATGGCAGCTCTATTTGATGATATATATAATATATACATTTTTTGGTTTTTAATTTTTTTTGGCCCGGCCGGGCAAGTGGTCCGGGCCCACTCTGGTAGCCTAGAAAATAATAATAATAATAATAATAATAATAATAATAATAATAATAATAATAATAATAATAATAAAATACTATCATTATAGCTATATATGGAGCAACTTCCGGTCTAGATAGAGCGATAATGACCATATGTGTTCTTCAGGTGACAACGGTACTGTGGTTCCCCATTATCTCATTCTACACAAATAAGGACTGCATTAGAATGGTGTGTGCCTACCCTACCGTCGTCTTCCCCGAAGACAACACACCCTCATCAAGACTGTATCGGACCGGAGAGGCCCCTTGTATATATTCATGATTAGGGTGCGTTGTGTTCAGGAGAAGACGACAGGATGACATGTGGGC